TTCTCTATAATAACCTGTATCCCTTTACACTTTAACTGAGCTTACCTTGCGAGTCCCTTTGTCAAGAATTCAATTGCAATTTGGATTTTACTTTGTTTCTTGATCAAAGAGACGGGAACCCAGAATGATTAAAAAAAGGCTTGTGTGGCAAACCCAAAAAAGATGCCATTGGGGTGCCCTCTTTTCTACTCCTTCCCCCATCTTCCCTTTGTCCCTCCTTGACTTGTATTCTTTTCCTTGTATAATATTGTACCACTACTTTTCAACAACGATCAAATAAAAAAAAAATAAAAAAAAAAAAAAAAAAAAGCTCACTCAGCTCATTGTGCAAGCGTCGTTCGTCTGCAATTGATATTAAAAAAGAAAGTAGACTGACATTAATCGATTATCCCGCATCCATCTATCAAAGCACTCAACGTTAACAAAAGAGCTTTAAGGACACTAGAAAAAGAAAAAGGAAAAAAGAAAAAGGAAAAAGGAAAAAGATATAACAAGTGTTTCGTACAATGAGCATTAAGGACTACAGAGCGACGTGTACCTTGTCTGTACTGGTTTTTCTTTCTTCTCTTTCTTTCTGTGTATAGGTATGTGTGTGGATGTGAGTGTGAATGGGTGTGGATGTTGAATGCGAATGGGAATGGGAATTATTTTTTTAGGATAGGATAGAGGAATGGAAATCTAGCAAACAAGTGAACTCACACGAATAAATTTGAATATCATTGTTGGGTCCATGTGCAAGTAATCTCTTTTTGATGTGTCCCCCAGTTGTGAAAGTAAACAAATAAAAAAAGATCGTCTTTTTTTACCAATTGGGCTTGCATCTCTTTTTTGCACTTTACATGGGAAGGAGAAGAGCAGACTTTTTTGGAGGATTGATACATATAATATTTTATATACCTTTCTCTCTTCTTTTTGTATTATTTTGAATAAAAAAGAAAAAAGATGGGAGGGGACAAACGTGCTTGTCTTGAAAGAGAGAGAGAGAGACAAAAGAGAGAGGCGTGTGCGCATGCATGCAACAACAAAAAAAAAAAAGAGCAAAGACTAAGAGAAGAGCGCGTAAAATATATCGATTTTATGCAACTCTTTTTACTTTCTGCTTTTTTTTTTTCTTATTCCCGCCTCCTTTTTTTGATCGCCTCTCTCTTTTTTACTTTTCGTGCTCTCAATCGATCACCTTTTTTTGGCATAAGAAAAAAAGAAAGACGCTCATGGCCCATTCTTTATCTGACTGGGGTAAACATGTCTTCCTACTTTCTCTCTTTTTCCCCCTTCCTCCACCCAAAAAAAAAAAAAAAAAAAAAAAAAAAAAACTGGCTCCTCCCTTTTCAATGGCGTCGAATCTGTTGTGCACCCATTGCATGTGCACTCGTTAATTATTATTCATTACTCATTATCAAGCATATTCCCGAAATCGATCATACTAATTCCTTTTATTAATATGAAACCAGCTGATCTTATGGATAAATGTTTAGCAAACGTCTTGAGCATGCGAGGATAGGATAAAAGAAATAAAGTAAAGAGGATCAAGTCTAGTTCCATATTATGTCAATTGCACTGCAGTCGTCTACTTGGTACACTATTGCAATAAACCATAAAAAATATAAAAATAAAAAGAGTGGGAATGAAAGAGTAAGGTGAATGGGTCACTACTCAAGGAAGGAGGGGTGGACAGTGTGTGCATCTGTATGAAGATGAGTCAAAAGGGCTTCAATGTTATCTGTATTATTTTACTTTATTTTATTTTATTTTATTTTATCTATTTATTGTTACCAGTTAGTCTTTTAGTCCATAGTCCTTAGTCTAGTGCAGATTGTAATTTATTCCAGTGTGACTAACCAATCCAACAAATAAAAAGATGAAATTTTTTTCTTTTGGCACCCCAGTTCATGTCGATCAAATGATTTTTGATTTCCACCCCTGTTCGTCTGTTCGTCCCTGGGACTGCTTCTCTTTTATCTACACCTACACATGCCATTAGACATGTACATGTATATGTCTGTACATGATTTGTGATACATGCATCAATGCATCTCAAAATTTCATTCCGCTACCCAACTTTCTATGTGCTTTTTACTCTTTTTTATTTTTATTATTATTATTATTATTATTATCATTTTTTTCATCCCAAATGCCCAAGAATGAAAAATATTTGTTTGAAAAGGTGGTGGAGGTTGCCCGGTTATTATGTTTTTGCTATTCGTATCAAATGTTTATATATATATATATCTATCTATCTATCTATCACCTCTCTACTCTACATGTACATTATATCGCATTGTATACATATATATATATATATATATATATATATATACAACCATGCATGGCAATGTCAGCATATCATATTTCGATAAATTCTTGTTAAAAATAAATATGTATTTGTTTATAGTTGTGGTTCAGGAGTAGCAATGTTGTGTTTCATTTAACAGTCGATTCTATTTAGGGAGGAAGGAGAATCATAAATAATATAAACACGTTTTTTTTATATTGTTGATCTCTAATCCCTATGCATATTTGCATATTTGCATATTTCAATAGGCAATAGGCAATACGAAGAGGAGAAAAGAGTAAGGGCATGAAATTGAAACATCAAACGTCTATATTAGAGCCATTTCATGGTTAAAGAGTCGAAAGACAAAAAGGCCTTTTTTTTTTTTTTTTTTTTTTAGTTATTGTTGTTGTTGATATTCTTGATTACTCATGGACTGTGTCTAATATGTAATCAGAAAATAGAGAAACTATATACCAATACCTTCACCTTTTGTCATGATGAGAAAATTTTTTTTCTGACATTTATACTTATATTTTATACCTCATTTATGATATATACTTTTATGAGCATTGGATGATCACGCTGGATGTGCTTATCCAGGTGTAAAATGCCTCTTTCCTCTAACTAAAAACAAAAAAAGATGATTCGTTCGTTTATATCAGTGAAAATCTACTGGGTCTGAAGATTTCACAAAGAAAAAAAGAGAAAAAAGCCCTTGATGATCGGGTTGTTTCGTTTCTTAATTTATAAAGTTTGCATATCAACCTTCGTTAAAACCCGCTCTCTGTTTTTTCTGATTCATGCAAAAAAAAAAAAAAAAAAAAAAAAAAGAGAGCAAGGACCCAGGGAAGGGTCTGTATGGCCCCATCAATTGATCAGTATATATATATATATAATATATGTATACAGACTTTTATACTTTTTTTTTATGCCACCCATAATCTATATTGTTACAACCAACCTAAACCTACGGGCAGTTGGCGGACAAAAAGGACAAAGGGACAAAAAAAAAAAAAAAAAAAAAGGGGGGGGGGTAAAAAGGGACCAAAGGATAATGCAAAAGGTTCGAACACAGAATACAAGCCATTGTCGCCAACGTTTTGCCAACCTAATGCCTTTTGTCTTCATTCTTGTTTTTTTTCTTTTTTCTTTTATTCGTGATACGTTCTTACAGATATAATTTTGCCATCATCTGCAGAAATACACGTGTATGTAAAGCGTCTTTTTTAACATAAAAAAGGGTACCTAAAGAGAAGAGGTTTAGAGTAAGAAGAGAAAGGAATAAAAGTAACTGAATGAAGATTAATGTAAAAAAAAAAAAAAAAAAAAAAAAAAAAGTGCCTTCATCTATTGGTCTCATTTTCTATCCTTCCCTTCTCTTTCCCTTTTTCCCTTTAACCTTTCCCTTCCTGTCTTTTTTTCTTTGCTTTTCCCCCCCCTCCCCTTTCCGTTTTGTTCCCCTCCCCCTTCCCTTCCAAAGTCACCAAGTGATCGAAAAATAAACCTTGGTTCAAAACGTTTTCTTATTTTTATCTACAAATGTACTCATTATGCGGAACAAAATAAATGTAAACAGAAAGAGCTGCACACACACAATTGCAAGGTTAGTCTAACCAAAAGTGTAAATAAAATAAACAAAAAGAGTTCAAAGAGCAATGCTTTTTGCTTTTTTAGCATGGACCGTTCATGGTCGCACAGACTTGTGATGTCTGTTCGTCTGTTTTTGTCGGACTTTTTTTTTTTTTTTTTTTTTTTTTTTTGATTGACCTGCCCTGAAGAATTCCCCCCCCCCTTCTCTTTACAATACATTCAGCCATTGGATACACACATTTACAAATGTATGTTTGAATAATTATAAACAACGTTTATTTCCTTTTTACCCTATATAGTGGCGTACGCTTTTCTATTTTGTAGAGGATCCTATCCAAAACGGTTCTATAATTCTATTTTCCTCAGGTCAGATGATCATTTCTTTCTTTCTCTTTTTTTTTTTTTTTTTTTTTTTTCTGAAAGCTCTCAGCACTAATGAACTCGCTTTCTTTCTTCCCATCCGCCCCAACCTTCGTTTTCACGTAAAAGAAAGAAAGGAATTGGAATGAGCATACATGTATAGTATATGTATAATATATTGTATTTACATAGTTGGTTTTGTCGTCGGCTTTAATAATTTATCTTTTCCTCGACATTTTTTTGCTTGTGATAATCACGATAATTACACAAAGCGTATATATATTATAGTGCAAAAAAGGCATTAATGATCCTTATATGGAGTACTTGATCATTACACAATTTACATCAAAAGGGTATGGATGCCTAGATGGTACAACTTTTTTTTTTTTTTTTTTTTTTTTTGCATTATAATCGTTTTTCCACCATCGATGTCCAACATTGTTTTCTCATAATTCCTTGCTCATCTTTTTTTTTTTTTTTTTTTTTTTTACAACTCCTCCTTTTTCATTTGTTCTCGATCAAATCAAATGAACAAAAAAGAATGAACTGCCCTCTTCATTTTGTATCCATTTGAGCCTGAGCATTTGTACTACATAGTACTTTACTAGACATCCACAAAACACAGAAGCTGCAACAGATGGTAATGTGTGTATGTTGTGTGTGTGAATTTGCTTCCTTTCTATTTGCTTCTATTTGTTTTTTTTTTTTTTTTTTCTTTTTGTTTTTTCTTTTTGTTTTTTCTTTTTGTTTTTTCTTTTTGTTTTTTCTTTTGTTTCTATTTGTTTTTATTTGTTTTTAATATATTAGAGTAGCACTACAGAATCAATGACGGCGAATCCAGCAGCAACACCTCCTTCATTGCTCTCTACACCTTTGGTGCGGAGCAAATGTCCACCATTATCATTTCGCACCACTTTTTTACCATCATGTAGATAGATCCCATAAATACCCAATTCCGACACAACATCTGCTCGCAGCAGTTGGCCTTTTCGCAACAAAACATTCTTCGTAATAGGAGGACGGATAATGTCCATCAAGATATATGCATTCCTCTGTTCCGGAGTAAGTTCCTTCAACACCTTCTGGATATCCTTCCCATAGATATTATTCCCTTTTTTTTAAAAAAAGAAAATAAAATAAAATAAAAAATAAAAAGAAAACGTCAGGATATATACATGCTGATTAAAAAAAAAAAAAAAAAAAAAAAAAAAAGTTCCAAGCTTTTTAATCCCTTACCTCCTCCCTCACGCTGAGGCTTCATCACTAGCTCGTCACTATTGGCAAGGGCAGCCTCATATGCAGTAATTCCCTCCGGAGAGCTATCCAAGGGATACAGTCCTGTAAATGATGCACGCAGCAGAGCAGCATCAGCAGGATCCTTGACAAAGCGCTCTAGTTGTCCTGGTGCAGCCAGAACCTGCTGAACCTTCTTGACTCCAACAAGTTGATAGGCAATTGTAGGGCACTTGATGGCCAATGATTTTTCTGCAAGCATTCTTCCTTCCCATTCCTTTCGTAAAAAAATAAAAAATAAAAAAAAAATTTTGATCTCTATCAGTATCAACGATAGACGTTGTTTTTTTTTTTTTTTCTTCGATTGAAAGTTAAAGATTATTGTGGCATCCTGAACCATAGTTGGACTTGGTAAATATATTCTTAACGAATACCTTTTCAGTAGGGTAATCGGTAGTAGCATATGCTGATCGATAATATACAACCGAGACCTCTTGATCGCCCCTAGATAGATGCACATGTCAGAAATAAAGTACATTTTTTTTGGTGGCGTTTAGTACAAGGACACAAAAAATTTGACGATCTCTCCCGCAGTAGCTGTTCAATTTTTTTTTTTTTTTAAAAAAAAAAAAAAAAAAAAAAAAAAACTTACATATAAAGTGCACTGGTCTCCGGATGCAAACTACCTTGCTCAGCAATCTCTGCAAGAGTCCTGCGAATCATCACTACTCCATGGCTATATTATGTATCCATACATTTGCAAGTCAAATGAGCCTTTGTTAGATGTTGTTCCATTGATATGTTTTTTTTTTTTTTCAATATCCAAATCCAGCTCCTGATATCGAGAATACATATCTGGGGAGGAGTTTTGCGAAGGGTCTACATTACTTTTTCAAAAGATTATATTCAATCCATCTCTGATCAAACGCGTTGCGCTCTCCTGGTTGCACCACCATCATGACCTTGGCACTATTCAATTGCGAAGTAGAAGACTATTTTAGACTTATGGGAAGCTTGATATAGAGAACACAACATTGGTAAAAAAAAAAAAAAAAAAAAAAAAAAAAAAAAATTACGTTTTCGATCCATATAGCTCATGAGCAGATGCAAGTCCTGAGGCAATTGAAGAAATCGAATCACTGCTCGGAAGCATTGAGTTGTCCACCTTGTCTGTAAGATATCCAGTGGTAGCATGCAAGTACCTAAAGACACGTAACCAATCAATGGTCAATCACTGACTCTTCAAATTTTTTTTTTTTTTTCCCTCATAAGCAAGCTTTATATCATCTCTCTCTCTCTCTCTTTTTTTTTTTTTTTTTTTTTTTTTTTACCGATGAAGATCTCCTGTCAATGATGATAAACTTCCGAACGAGACAGAGATAGTATTCAATTCCACTTGTTTGATCTTTGCATCCGAGAAATCTTGTCCTGGATTCAAATTGATGATATAATCAGATCGATGAATTCCCAACGATGCAGGCTAAATAAAAAAAAACGAAAAGAATTTTTTTTTTTTTTTTTTTTTTGGAGAAGCGCAGCACACAATGCATTTGTAAGCAATTGACCAATGAAATAAACGCAAAATCCCGCTTTTTCTATGAGCCACATTAATCAGCATTTCTTTCACAGGAAATATTCTGATCTGTCTCTCAACAATAACATTTCTAATCATTTTGTTTTTGCCTAGTTGACAAACAAATATTAAAAAAAAAAAAAAAAAAAAAAAAAAATACACCTTGGAAGATATCGATGGCGCCATCGACACATCCAAATAGGTGATTACTTTTTTTTTTTTTTTTTTTTTGCAGTTGAAACATAACAAGAAACCAGCAAACAAAGTATTTATAAAAAAATAAAATAAAATGATAAAAAAAGAATTACCTGAGTGATGCCCCGTTTCTTGACAGTAATATAAAGATTGTAAAGACGGCTGACAAAGTCATCCACAGTTGACAGACTAAAGTTGATATACATAAATGGTAAAGCAGATAAGAGAGACTATTAGATCAATGAGGTGAAAAAAGGGGGGGGGAGAGGAACGAATATATTCATAAAGATATTACATATTGGCGACTTTTGCAAAGAATCCATACAGTACCTTTCCATAATTTCTTTCAGGAACTCATCGTCCTCAGAGATATCATGCACGAGCTGATTGAACAAGGGTTGAATCTTGACCGCATTATCGAACGCAGCTTTAGGGAAAGGAGAAGGGAAGAGTGAGACAGGAGCGTTGATAACACCCTCAGCCTCTTGTATGTTTGAAATGGATGTTGCTGCTGTCACGGGAGGAGGAGGAGGACGAACGACAAGTCCGTGAGACAGTGCAAAGTCAAGTGCCGCGTCCTTGAGAATCAAAAGTTGCTCCTCGGAAGTGGTTGGAGCCCAGTCTGTCATTGTGTTTGAAATTTAGTTATGGCTCAATGAGAATGTATGAATAAAAGAAATGAGTAATGTGATGAGAATGAAATAGAAAGAAAAAAAAAAAAAAAAAAAAAAAAAAAAACGATTCGCAGGCCGTTCAGGGTCTGCGCATTGTGTCATGTCTACAAGGTTCTGGTGGACGGTATGTCTGTTGGTCTGTAAGGTTTTTTTAAATTAGCCCAGAAATTCACGGGCAAAAAAAAAAATAATCAGAAAGACGCGGAAGAGAACTTTCAAATACTTGTGTCTAGCGTCGTGCGCGCTTTGCAGGGGGGAGAGAGGCTGGCGGCTCTTCCGTATTCTGTTAGCTTCCCTTGGCTCCTAATCTGAACAAGACCGACTCTTGCGATGCTATCCAAGTACGTACATGCCCAGCAATATTTAATTATTTCGCAACAATCCTTAATATTAAAAGAATAGGAAAGTAGGTTCGGAAAAAACCTTTTAGACAATAAAAGGAGGAGCAATATACGAAAAGAGTTGGAAGCAAGGGCCCAGATTGGATGAAATTGGTTGTTCAGCAGTTGAGAGACTCTGACAGATGTACTACAAATCCTTCGGAAAATCACCTCTTTATTCATGACCTTGTGAATGCCAGCGAAGTTGATATCAGACACTAGAGTTGTTACATCCAAGCCACATTTATATAGGCTGGTTACGAGTCTAGCTGGTACTGGTAGGCTCGTCAACCAGCCTAAGGACGAAGTTCATGTGCACATGCACGTGCTGAAGGCAAATGTGGCTTGCTCTTCTCTCCCAGGCCGGGACCAAACTTTGACATTTTGGCCGGAGGTCTCTTTTTTAATTTGAAAAAAATTTCCAAGTCAAACACACTGCTAGGAAGGCTCTTTTTTTTTTTCCAAGTCATTTACACCACAGGAGATAGCTTTTTTTCTATGTTCAAACTTTTTTTTTTAAGTCATTTTTTTTCAAGCAAAGTCCTACAGATCACAGGAAAATGGCCTACGTGTAAAGCATGCTACTGTTTTTCTTGCTCTCATTTCACAATCTCATTTATTCATCCGATTATCACTACGAAATATACCTATCATCATTCTCATCTTTAAAAAAAAAAAAATAGAAAAACTAAGCTATTCCCTGTGGCGCAAATGACTTAAAAAAAAAAAGAGCAGTGTGCTCGACTTCAAATTTAAAAAAGAGACCTCCGGCCAAAATGTCAAGTTTGGTCCCAACCTGAGAGAGAAGAGCACATGAACTTCGTCCTCAGGGCCTAGATAGTTGACGACTTCTATCATGCACAAGTGTGGCTTGCATTGCCAGCTCTTTTTTTTTTAATTTTTTTATTTTTTTAACGTACGATGAATAACTTCAGTATGAAGATTGGGAGTTTTTTGGATCTTCAAGGAGTATGTGATGAGCATAAAGGGTTGTATGGTGCACAGGCACAACATCTAAATAACATGATCAACTCAAGAGAATGTGTCAATATTCCTTCAAAAAGCTGAATGGCCTATATGAGGAATGAACAAATATTGGCAGGGTATATTGCCTCTGCTGCACAAGCAATGATAATAAACAGCCATTTTATGCAGGAATTCCATATAACACCGCACATATTGTATGTTAACGATTGTCTTTATAGTAGTCCACTTAACTTTCAGTGGACATTCTAACAACAGTCCTGCATCGTTCTTAGGGGCTCAATTGCAATAGAAGCTTTTAAGGCTATCATAAACTGTAATCAAAGTTGTATTATAGTAAAAGCGGATAAAGTGATCAGTTGACATCTGGCAAATTCAAATTTATAATCCTTTTCAAATGTCCCCTTCAATGATCATTTCAGTCCTCCTGGGGAGCAGTTGTAAGCAGAGGAATGAGCAAGTCGAGTGTGAACAAAAGTTTATCTGAGGGACATGGAAAATGAGAAATGTGTGAGTTCTTCGTGCACTAAAAGATTGTGGTTGGTTTTCACGTCACAATGACCAAGAAAATGGCACGTGGCTGATTTGAAAAAAAAAAAATTCTCACGCAAAGCCTAACCTTGAAATAAAGGAACAAATTTATCAGTTGTCGCTCCTTTCTTTCCTTTGCTCCACTTCATTTTCGCCACCACTTTTTTCATATTTCACCACTTACCTCTTTTATTCATTCCAAGCCTTCATTTATTGTCTTTCTTTTCCTTTCCTTCTTTTTTTTTTTGCCTTACATATTTTTCATTATTGTTTCCATACCGTGGCCACGGGTGAAAGAGTAAGAATATACCTTTGCCTATTTAGCCATCATTCTCCCTGCATTTCAACCACACTCATCTTAATTTTCAATGGCCACCACAAGGAGCTCAACACAAAAAAACATGGCTGCAAATGATTCGACAAGGAGCCAAGCACAAAAAAACATGGCTGCAAATAAGCCTGAGGATGCCTCCACACTCAATAAACGAAAAAGAGAAAACCAACACCCACAACGAAAAAAGCGCGCCATCCCACTGCTGCTGAAGCTGAACTGCGTTGTTGAGGGAGAAGCAACGTCGTTCTCAGTAGAGATTTTCTCCGATAAATCGGTTGGGATGCTCAAGCAAGCCATCTATTTACCTGCTAGATTTGATGATATCCCACCAGAGAAGCTAACTCTCTACAAGGTCTCCATCCCTGACGAAGGCAAGACTGTCGTTGAGTCAGAAATTGTGTCGAAAGAGGCTCTCGCACCCGCGTCAAGGAAGCTTGGGGACATATTTAATTCCGAACTTCCAAGGAAAACGATCCATGTTTTTGTCAAGCCACCGCAGCGAGGTATATCTTTGGCTCTTGATGGACTGATTGTTGATATTTCCAGTTGATGAAGCTTGGTTTATATCTTAAACGGCCATGTGCATGATATCACCATTTGGTTTGTGTCTTGATAACTCAACGTTCTTTCTCATTATTCGCTTTTGATACTTAGCTCAGAAAAGAAAACAAGATGAAGATTCTGGTGAGTGCTTTTGGCCGAGAAGCTGGTTATTGATCAATTTAGAGTGATGTGCAATAAATCAAGAATATTAACTTTGATCACTCTATCTCTTTTATCAGAGTCACCCTCTAAAAAAGCTCGTCCAAGTATAAGTAGAGATGCTCTTATGGATGCGATTACAGAAGCGGGGCTTGTAACGAAAGGGATAGTGAATGGTAGCCCTGCCATCTCGCGTCTAAGCTCGAAAGAGAGGGTCAAGCTGCTTTCGTACATGGGGAAGAGGTTACCAGTAGATAGTATTTACTACAGCATTATTAGCGTGGCTCGCGAGCTCCGAAATTCTGGTGGTATCAAGGGTTCCAAAATATTATCAGATTATGTGATATCCAGTCTACCAGGGATGGATCTTCCGGTGATCGATGCGCAAGATCTATATGTAAGAAAGGAATTCAAGGATCTCTACGATTTAATCACCAAACAGTTTTGCAACGCTGAGAACAATGCACGAAACCGTATTGTTGTTACAGGGACGGCTGGTATAGGGAAGTCATCCTTTCTCATATATTTTGCCATCCGACTACTTGCAACCAGTACTGAGGATGATCCACCTATTGTCATCATCCAGCGAAAAGAAGATTCAATGTGCTACGCTTTTGGTGGGTTATCTACTGTTCAAAATGGAGATATAAAGGATTTCGCCGCCTTCCTAGACCTACCTAACACTTGGTTCCTAGTCGACAGCTCACCAAAGCCGGAGCTTATGGAGGCTCGAACTATCTTCTCAGTATCACCAAAGACGTTATTTTCCGAGTCCAACATGTATAAAGAAATTGTAAAGAGGGTGGTATGGATTTATTACATGGCACCATGGGAGCTGGATGAGTTAAGACAGTGTAGAAAAATGGTTCGGACCTTTAACATCGTCAGCGAAGAATTTATGATGGAACTCTATGAGAAGATAGGTGGTGTGCCAAGGTATGTTCTCGAGAAACCAGCGAACCGACTGCACTTTAATGAAAAAGATCTTGATGGAGCTAGGAGGGAAGCGTACAGTCACGTAGAAACAGCCCTCGACAACCTCAACGATCCATTGAAGCTGTTACAATATTTTGAACAGGCCAAAGTTTCACTACAATATAGCAGCCCACTTCTTCATCGTCGTCCAATAGGAGATCACCAGCAATTTGTGTTAGAGTGGGCCTCTAATCACATTCTCGAAAAGGTCGAAAAGGTGTACGAAGCAGCGGACGACAATACTTTTAACATGATATTGGATCGATTAGTCAATGGCAAAGTTAGAATATATCTAGGAGCTATGCTCGAGATATGTATACGTCGCATACTACGGAGAGGCGACTGTACCTTCGTGGCCAGGAGTCTAGATGTAGAGAAAAAGCAAGATATCACCATCACCATCAATGCCAAGCCGACGGTTAAATTCTTCGAAGCTTTTGATGTTTACGAGAAATCGATGAAAGGAGAACTATGGATCCCAAAAAGCAAGACTTTTGCCTGCGTTGATATGCTAATAGCGCCGAATTATCTACTCCAGATTACGGCAAACGTAGATCATGGTATCAAGAGTGAATCTTGCAAAGAACTTCTTAAAAAGCTTCAAGAAAAAAAGTGGATTCGCTCAGAGAAGGACGTTGTATTGATTTTTGTTGTTCCAAAAGCTAAGGCTGGGGCTGATCGGGTGGATCCTAAACCGACAAAAAAACTATCAAGTATCAAGCAATATGTCATGGAGGTAGACTTAAACGCAGAATTACAGCGAGGTAGACTTGAGGGCAGAACTAAAGAGGTATAAAATAATAATTTGAGAATAGTACATCAAACTGCTTCCATAATAATTATAACGAGCCGGAGACCGTGGCTTCGCCACGGCCGGCTCTTGCCTTGCCTCGTTAGAAATTTCATGAGGGCAAAATAAAGTGAAAATAAAAATCGTAGTCAAATACAACCAATTGTATCTTTGCATAACTTTTTTATTGATTGGGTCTTTTTTACGAATCGCGCGATAAAATACAATAAAGCAAAATCAGTTAAGACTATATACATGTACAGTAGTAAAATAAACAAAAAATAAAACACAAAATAAGGCAGAATATTTGGAAGATACGGTAGTAAATGAGAGGATGCTTATTTACAAAGCATCCTTGTAGACAATGTCCCGCATGTATAGCCCAGGCCTGAGATTAAGTTCAATTGCACCCACAACACCGATATATGGATCCGTCTTCAGCTTAGATTGGTTCTCGCTGATGAATTGAAGCTGATCCACCTCAAGCCTACTGTATTGATCGGTAGCCTACTAATAAGTCAAGCATGTATTCATCCTGATGAAAAATCGCTGGTCTGTTGAGCTCAAAGGACGAATCTGCAGCCTGTACGTGTAAAACTCCTCCAGCTTGGCGTATTCTCGACTTTTCCTAGCTCGGCCATCGCCCTCACCTACATCCACCTCTAGCTGGCCGTTTTCGCTACCGTCATAGCTGTCACCATGAGGCCCTGCAGAGGTTTGACCTGGCCTAGGCCATTTTTTATATTTTTTATATGTCCAGTCCTCGCCTTTTGGATGCAAGAGGTTATTATGGAGACTCTCGTGAGCTGGATGAACCTCACTGGTTTTTTTCAAACCACTGGCTCTGCTTTCAATTATGATGCCTTGCTGAGAAACCTTACTACTGGCGCCAGCCATCAATAGCACGATTCCAGTTGATGAGAGGGCCTGTACTGCATTCGCCTTTGCCCTCTCCCCTCATGCTGAGGCCCAGCACAGATGGCGACCTTCAGCCGCATGATATCCTCGTGCGCACATTCTCTGACGTCTTTGAGCGTATGGGCTATCGGGTAGTGTAGTTCAAGGAGCTGCTGTGGTTACTGCAACAGGCCTTCATCAAGGAATCCCCGAAATGGTTATTACGGAGTCTTGCTTGCTGAGCAGGGTCATGAATGTGAGCGTGAGCCTGCAGGAACAGAGAGGCAGCGCCTTCAGTTGGCGTCATAGGATCAATCAGAGTACCAACCCTTCCAATGATACGAAGCGTGTACACTCCATATAGGTTGTTCGCAAGGTCTTTATCAAGGTTCACTTCCATGGACGTGAACAAAAGAGCGCAGTTATATGCTTATATGTGTTAACGGAATAACTTACCTTGCGGCTCTGCCCATCAAGAAGTTAAACCAAGGCTAAGTGGAGGAATATCCACTTGACCTCTCCCACAGCATAAAGGAAATTCTGGCCGACTTTTACTACTGCGTTGCACACACATTCTTCAATAAACATGAAGGCACCGCAATAATGGCAACTGATCATTGGTTCTAAGCGGTACCAATATTGCATAATATGCTGATTAAAATATATCTTTCATGTCAAAAAAGGCATCAATCTACAGCGAATGAATATATATCTATATTTATGACGTTTAGAGTTTCTACTACATTTATTGCATTTCACAAAAGTGATTTTAAAAATTAACAAGAACCTGCTTGTTCTCAAAAAGCGCTGATTCGCTTCCAGTTTGACTAATACTTTGACCTCCTTGCTCACAGCAACAAATGCCTGCTTTCATTGATCCATCTCTCGGTTTGCAAAGTCGGTCCGCTGGTGATTGATTGGTTAGAATATAAGCAACGCCAACTCATTTTCTGGAAACATTTTCACCCTTTTCTTAAAATCATCTTCATCCTCAAATCGTCGCTTCTTCCGCTCGCTCACGATTTCTTTACAGATCTTCTCCCCAACTGCAGGCATCATAAATGTATGAGAACGGAGGTTCGCCTTTGGAGCTATTTGTCGATTTGAAAATATACCAAAGGCACATTCCAAGGATGGACATCGTTTCTTAAGAACTTCGTTCACTTCGGCAATCTTTTCAATTTCTTTCTCAATTGTTTTTTGGTTGATAGGGCTAGACGTCTTTGAATCCTTCTCTTCGGCCCATTCCATTTGACAAAATAGACACAAAGACGCAATGTCTCTTCTGTTCTGTAAACGCAACTGCATATAGCCGTCAGCTGGAGCACCCTTGCCATTAACAAATATCTTGTGAAACTCTTGAAGAAAGTTAGTATGCTCCTTGCCGTCCACATCCTTTGCGATCTCGTGATTGGGGGACATTTCGAGCAATTGATGCACTGTAACATTGCGGTGCTCTGGAATTTCAACTTTAAACTCTGGAAACTCGGGATCAAATTCAGCACCTGCAAAAAGTTCCTGCAGAGACACAGTCTGTTTTCCGAGGTAAGAGAAAAGGCATAAACGTAGAGCCCAGCCTGCCCAGGAGACATCTTGCTTTGGATCGATAAAAGCGGTCCAGTACTTCAAAGGGGACTCGGATTGGCTATAGGAAGCGCTGATCAATAAAACCAGCCACAAATATGGGATACGTATATGGTATATGTCATGCTCTTCAGCTCGTTCCAGCTTTATTAGGCCAGTTGTCCTGAGATCTTTATAGGTTGTGCCACCTCCAATAATATCATTCATTTTGACTGGGATACCAAGAATGGCCCTTGCCACTCCACTACAGGTGTCATGAACTCCACGTAGTTCCCAAAAGGATAAAGTGTGTCTAAACGAACTGCCAGGCTCTGCATAACGGCCATGATATCGACATTGCGCAGACATTCCGTAAGTTTCTCATCCTTGTCAGGGATCTTCTTTAGTTTCTTTAAGCGATTCACAAAGTGTTCATAGAAATGCTCCACAGCCCTTGGCACTCCACCGATGTCTGCAATACTACGGTGGAGCAGTATATCATGCTTTAGGTAGTCTTCAGTCAGATGTAGAGCCTTACCGTCTATAGTCGGAGGAAGCCTACGGCCAATTTCGATCACGTCGTCGTCAGTAAGAAGAGGAAGAGGTAGGTGTAGGATACGATATGTTGATCCCATGAGCATTTCTTCGATGGGTCCTTGGATTGTGCCTGCCATAATAGGGATACAAAAAGGCTCTATGGTTCTCAAGCTCAGTTTCCCAATAGCATTCGCAACTTCTCGAAGGGTACCTGGGTAAGCATTGTGTAAATGATTCACTTCGTCGATGCTGATGACCAGCACAATCGGATTGTTAGTGGGTGTGCCTCGTCTGATAATATCAGCATGAATAACCTCCATGGCTCTGCTCACTGAGAGTAGATTGATGCCTTCCTTTTGCAGAAAAAAGTCAACAGGTTTGCTATCGGAGTCTTTGTTACTGATAAAATATCCGTAGAGTAATCTAACAGCAATAGATGCATCGCCTCCAATTTTGTTATCGAACTGGCTGACCGCGGTGCCATTGCCGTAGCAAATATTGATTGAGACCATATTGGAGAAGGCGCTTTTAATACTCTGGTCACCGTAAGAGTTGGCCTTTTCACGAAGCATTCCTCCAATTTCTTGGAGGGACCTGCTTTTGCCTGTACCTGGCCCACAGGCAAGAAGTGGGATTGGATTTAGGCCCTTGTCGCTCTTCTTGCGGTTTTTAAATCGCTCAAAGACGCCATTATAACAACTCCCATTCCATAATACGTCAAGAGTTTCCTCTCTGCGGCAAAGTGGGAATTCTGAACCAAAAGATGTAACAAGCTATAACAAGTATAATAAAGAGTCAGCACAAAATCTTCCGTCCACTCATAACTTATAGCGATGTACACCCAAAATGTAAACACAATAGGCAGCATACCGGAGCTTGTTTAGTGCCGATGAGTCGTTCATATTGCTTAACCAATGCAAGGATACTTGAGGTGTTCGTCCAGATGACAGCTGTGATTAAAAAAAAAAATAAAAAAAAAATCAGAAAGATAAAAATCATGATATTTCGAGAATTGCTTCCTGATCAATGATGTCATACACAAAGCTTTGAGAACAAACAGCTAATCCCTTACCTCCCAACGGCCGCTGGACGATGACATTAATGGTTTTCTTTGGTGGCGCCGTTCCAAAGAATTCAGAAATCTCGCTTGTTGCGTCGTCTAGCTCCTCTGGCTCCTTTGATCTTTCTTCGATTGTTAGATAGTTGAGCATGATTTGTCTTTTCGGCGCGGAAGGGATTGAGAGATAGTAAAGATTGAGCTTTTTAGCAGAAAGGTAATCTAGGTCTGGCTCATATTCTTTCTTGATTGCCTTTTTGAGTTCGTCCACGGTCTTTGTTGGTGGAATCCTCACAGGAAACGCTGTGGATTCTCCATCAATAATGCAAAAGATAGTGATTTCGCCTGTCATTGGTGTGATTATTAGACAAAAAAAGTTAATAAGCTGGTGAAGAAGGAGAAAGAAAGCATCAAATATAGTGATTTGATGTGACTGGCTTTTCCAAATCTGCTGCGGAAGTTCAGCCAAAGTTGATAGAAATCTTTCAAATAGTGCCTCCATTTGTTCTTTGTTCTTTGTAAATTATTTATTGGTTTTTATTTTATTATCATTATCATTATTATTATTACTATTTTTTTTTTAAAAAAAAAAAAAAAAAAAAAAAGATGACTAGACAGTTATAGGATGAATATAAGGCATATTCAAACAGATATGGACTTTTGTACATGTTACATGTACTATAGCGGCTAGACATTACTTTCTCCAAAAAAAAAAAAAAAAAAAAAAAAAAAAAGCGAGACGAGATGTGTTAATGTGTGTATTATTATTTTGCACAGAATAGTATTAAAGCATTGAATAGAAAAAGGAAAAGGAAAAGGAAGGGGGAAGGAGAGGAAGAGAAGAAAGTGGATGTGTGTGGCTTTGATTGGTTGTTATGCTTGGAGGAAGGGATTGACGCGCTTTGAAACAAACAAATTATAAGAAACAACTGGTGGCAAAAAGGTGATGTAACGGCTGGATTGACAGTGGCTGAAATATTTATTGGACAAATCGATTTTTACATCAAGTTTTCATCGGGAAGAGCAAAAATGAACCTTATTTCTTTTTCCAGTTGGTCCCGATGAAAATTCATTTTGATTTTTTCATCAAGCAACGTATTTGACGAAATTTTCGTCAAGCCAAGGATTGAATTGATTCAATAAGAATTTTTTTTTTTTCGTTGCTGAAATATTTTATGGTAAGTCGGAAGTCAAGGAGATCAAAAGTTGTTTATTATTTTAGCTAGGTCGGAGCCTTATAATTGCTCTGATCTATGAATAAAAAGGGGAGTGCTCCATTTGGGTACACTCCCTAGCCTCAGGACGTAACAGTTGCCTCGTTCATATTTTTGCTATCTTCTTTACCTCAACTGCCATAATGATCATTTCCAATCCCCCACAAAGCACACATGTCAACTCGATGTTGTTGCACCAACAGCATAAAGAGGACAGAAAAGAGTTATTGCAACGGGAAGCCGAGGTGTATAGGACTTTTCAGGATGAACAGGAAGGACTTTTTGAAGTTGCAAGGATTCCACCAATATATTTGTGTGACTGTATACTTCTTTATCTACGGTTTTTAAAGTTAGTCCAGAAATTCAGGGGCAAAAGATTAGAGAGGATGGATACAGGAGACGAAAATAAACAGAACTTACAAATTTTTTGTGGGTGTGCCGGCACCCAAATACTTGTGTCTAGCGTCGTGCGCGCTTTGCAGCCGGAGCAGGCGACTCTTCCGTGGGCTTGTACTTTGCAGGTCTCTCTTGTCTCTCAATTTGAGCAAGACCGATTCTTGCGATGTTTTCCGCCCCTACTGCGTCACGGTCGAAGAATACCTTACATGTCCTGCAATATTTAGAGCGAGGGTACACCGTCTCTAAAAAGCTATCGCAGAGGGGTCGGGGACAGCGGGCGCTGGTGTAAAATTCGTGCGCTCCTACAGCGAAGTGTCCTCGTGCTTTGACCTAAGCGTTTCAAATGGCAGTCGTTTATTAGCAAGGCTTTTATGGCTTTCCAGCTTTGCTTACTTTTTTAAAAACAGCCATACCTGTGTGACAAGATGCCTCGTTATAGCAGTGTGCTTGCTGGGAACTCCTTTACTACTTTCAAAGGACCCTAGGCCGACGACAAGTACTCCTTTATCCCCAAGCATCTTCAACACTCGCTGTACCGCGTAGCCGAACGTAGCTCGTTGAGCCTTTCGTAGGTCCCATTTTTTTTTCAGGTGCCATCTGGACTCGTAGAACTCTTGAAGCACATCCAAATTCGTTGATCCTGTCTGTGTCTGAGACTCCTCGTTCATCCATTGAAAGTACTCATTATACGTTCCCTTCCAAACACAGGGATGGCGCTCTCAACCTCAATCATTCCTTTTTCACGCTTCCTTTTGTTCAACAGGTGATTGAAGCGGAGGACAGGGAGGTACAAGAACCTGCTTCTCACCTTTACCGTTTGCCGCAAGTTAGGGTTGTGAGGGTCCAGCGAGGAAAACGTAAGGGCGTTAACAATACCAGGATCACATCCGACGATAGTTGTGGTGTTTGCGGATGGGCATCGCCCTGGTTTGTTGAATGTGAGCTCAACGTTTTCAAGCAGCTTGGAGCTCCTCTTCCAGTTTATGTTTGCATAGTCTTCATCTGTTAGGTCTTCACCGGCCGCCTTTGAACACGTCGTGTTGAGAAATCCCTGAGAAAGCTCCAGTTCTTGGCTGGGGTCTTCTTCATCTACGTCAGACTGCTGCTGTCTCTTCGTCTGGGTTGTGTCATAGGCAAGTAGATTCAGAACTAGACCGTTGGTAGAAATCGTCCCTTTGAGTTTGAACCGAGTTAGATCTTTGTCCTGTGACTGCAGGGATACTTTGTCTTGATATCCACGAACCATGCGATCACCTCCAATGTCACAAAAGAGAGCCTGTATCAAACCCCTTTTGTTCCCTGTACACACTCATACATTGCAGTCTTGGAAGCATTATTGAGAGGCAGAATACGCTCCAGCAGCTGCTTGGTATCTTCGTTCGCCCAGAGGATGTCAACTAGGGCGTGTTCAGACAGATACACATACCCGGGTGACCAGGGGGACGTAGGAAAGTCTGAGTATTTTTTCACTCTTTTGTTCTCCCGCAAAAAAAAACTCAATGTCGCTCATATCTTCGTTTGTTTTCTCGACATCAAACTAAAAAAAAAAAAAAAAGGTGTGAATAAAGAGCATTTGATTGCAGAATATGCATGAAAATACCCCTACACAAGCTATACTATTGCGTTCCTGTAGTGCTGCCTTAATGATGTCTGTACTTGGCCCATTAGTAAGTCTGACGCTCTTGGAAATGTGATCTTTTTGGGATCAAAGCCTTGGACGTCCCCCAATGTGATGTCTATATCCTTTATTGGGGAAAGTTCAGTGGTGGCCTTGAAATGTTCATAAGCGAGGTGATGATGGGGCGTTTCTACCGCCTTTCCTTGTTTTTTTGCCCTCGCGTAAGCTGAATTGGGGCCACCTTGACCACTCAAAAGAAGGGTGGCGAGACGGAAGGAATAATCATTGCTATCCAAGACCTCGTCCAGTGCCTTTTTCCTCGACTTTGCTGCCCCTGGTAACCGCATGATTGAAATATGCCAGGATCATAATAAGTAACGAGAACGAAAGAAAGATGTGTTTATTATGATCCGGGGATCTTCGTTAAATAAAAAGGGTAAAAATCTTTGCTATAGTAAAAACCCATGTAAATGACTGCTAATCGCAACAATGATCCTCTCAATGCCCAAGGCGATCGCCCAGTATGCATAGCGGCGTAGTCGGTTGAGGACAACAACTGCCCCTCGGACCTGGCTTGCAATACTATCCCTTTCATCTGCGTCCAGTCCGCCTTTCCTTGCCATGGAGGCCTTAAGGGACCCAGTTGTTAAGGCCTTGATAGGGTGCTTACTGCTGTAGCTGTGATCAACCTTCGTAGCATCCTTCAAGTTCCTAATTGGTGCACCTTCTTTTTTAGCCCTGTGGGGCTTCTTGCCTTTGTGCTTCCGCTTTCGTTTTTTCTGTTGCTTCTTTTTTGCCTTTCTCCGACGTGGTGGATGCTTAAGGCCCGGCCTATCGTGCTGACGGTAGTTACTGATATCAACTGTGCGCCCATTCAATATGCTCGCCTTGTCAGAAAAGATGGGCCGGAATTGGTTCCTATGTGACCCTTCCGCTATATAGAATGATGGTACGCCTCTACATTATTCAAGAAAGGGACTAACGATTAGTATTGGGGACGTCTGGTTTCAAGGCCAAAAACTATAGCTTGAGCTTTCTTACGTTCTGCGGCGCTGCGCTCGCCTTTGCTGAGCCATTCTATGGCGAAGATCCTTTCCATTGAGTAAACGCTGCTTGAAGTTATCGAACTCATTGTTCGATGGTAACGCTTGGGCCGACGTTTGATGGCCGGAAGTAAAAATGCGGAGAGCTACACTGAAACGGCCTTCCTCAGAGGCTACGTTCCTTCCCAACACCTTACTAGCTTCCCTTAGGTAGCCCTGAAGCATTTTATTATAGTTCTCGTTCCACTCAACCTTTCGAATTAATCGAAGATTAGTAATCGGGCCTAACGTCAGGATTTGCCGCCAAGAAAGTGCCCACGCCAGTTTCCGAAGGTAAAACCCCGCGATCCGCAACCAGTTTGAAGAAGGACTTCAGCCCCATGGTCAATATCTAAGCGAAAAGAGAAAGAAAAAAGGAAAAATGGTGGTGATGAAAAGAAATGAAAAAGAAAAAAAAAAGAGCGACAAAGGTATAAAAGGATGAGCTTTTTTATGGTGTAAAGATTCAAAGCGAATAGATAAAGAATATTGAGGGAAAGATACAGGAACAAGTGGCAGTGGTAAAAGGGATGGGACTTTGAAGGAGGAAGACAATGATCCCTTTTTATATCCTGGGTTGATGATGAGTTTTATCATTGTCTCATATAGTTTTGATATCGATCCTTTGCTTCACAGGCCACATCAATCTTTATTCAGTTCCTTTGTTTGGATTGGGGTTTTGTCCCAGTCAATAGCAGAGATTGACAAATAAATACAAGCTCTCGCATGAACGGCAGATTGGAAGAAATAGCATTGAGATACCAAAGTGAAACCATCTCGGTATACAGCATATAGTGCTGATGTCGATCCTTTGTTATACAATTTTTTTTCAGCTTCTTTTGTTTGCAGTGGCCCTTGCTTTGTGAGGAATTTAATGATTTATAATTTTGAACAAGGGTAATAAATGCATTGACAGATATGACTCGGTGATTATAGGTAACAACTAAAGAAAAAAAGTCTTTTTTATCAGAGAATGGCTTCAAATGATGCTTTTTGCTCCAACAGCCCCAGTACTATTGCGTTAAAGCAGAGATATTCGTTGGCTCTCAGGTTCCGGCATCAATGGCGGAGATAGGTGATGTGCTTATTGCTTGGAGTAAAAGCTAGCTAAGCACCCTTTCTTACTGGACGGTGCCTTGTTAATGGTGATATTGCGCAGCGCCTTGTGGATGGAGGGAGAGCAGAAGCGAGAGTGGTGGTTTTTGGCGGTCGTTTGGTGTGTGTATGTGCGAACTTGATAGTTGATACCAATCGCCAAAATATATGCATTTAGAATTACAGAAGCGAGATTAATACCGACGCGTTTCATCCTTTCCTAGGGATTGTTATAACCATGGCATGATTGTGGAGTGGCCGCCAAAATAAAGTTTGTTTATTTCTTCTGGAGGCACCAATGGAAAACGCTTGTGTTTTGTGTTTTGGAATTGCAGAAAATAAATAAGACGCCGCGATGTAAAATGTGTTTATGCATGTACAGAAACAAAGAGATGCTTCAGCTGCTTATTCGTGCACACAGTGATTGACGAACAAAAAAGGAAAAAAAAGCCCGCGATGAAAGAAGGCATGTGCAGACAACAAATAAACACAGCAGCTGTTTGCTCACATACATTTGTTTCACCGTTGTGTCTGTATGTCTTTTAAGCTTTCTGTCTGGCCGTTTAACACAAGGAATCCTCAGAAAAAGAAATACCTCGCATGATTGGTGCCAGGTCTGAAAACACCAATAATGCAATGCTGTACGTGGAAGACAGGGTCTAGAAACTATACCATTGTTATGCAGACTCACCGAAATCAACTTGAGATCACAACTGCTACTCATGCCCTCTTGCCAAGGACTTGAACAGGCATACCAACCCCTTCTTCCTTGCTCTCATAACCGCTCACATCCTTTCGATGCATTCTTTCGCCGTTTATGTCCACTACATCTGAACCACACACAGTTCACCACTCACTCCAACAGAGATATTTGGTATGATATGTTGCTGTGGTTCCCTCTGGTTTCAACAGGCCCAACAAACTCTATTAGCAGTGTTTACCAACCCAGATATATCAAGAAGACGAGGAAGCAAATGATGTGACAAATCAAGTCTTGCCGAGCAAGCTCTATGGTGCGGTAGAATGAATCAACTCAGATTGCCCTCCTTTCAAGTCGATACTATGGCGAATATTATCACTGCTATTACACCAGTCAATAAATAAACAACACAATGGGCCCCCTAAGAGGATGCTAGTGTCATGCGAAAGCCTTCAAGAGTTTTTTTATTGGCACAAATAAAGAAGCCAGGATAGCTCCATGACAGTTTAGTTTTCGGTCATTTATTTCGACATCGAAATAAAATTTCAAGACAATGCCCATGAATTGCTGGATTTTAAGCCCATTTATAATGAAATTTGCCAGGTTGACTGTTTAAGGGATAGCACATACGATAAGTTGTTTACAGACTGCAATTTTTACGTCGGCGAAAGTAAGGTTCAATATCCCGATGAAAATCCTTGACGAAAAAAATATTTGCGAAAACTCTCTAGACTATTGTATAGTCGAACTTGCAATATCCAGACATCCCACTGTCAAACTTGTCCGGATAATAATTAGGTTTTACTAAATTGGGTGGTATTCTAAACTTTATAAAATATATATATATACTCAGGTGATATTGCATTTACGGGTTCCCCGAAATGCACATCTGGTGAAATGTCCGACAAGATTTGTCTGACGAAATATCCGGACAATTCTACGCCTCCACTACGCCTCTTTGCCCAGCCCCACTACGCCCTATGACTTCCACACGGCGTCCCCGAATAGTATAAAAGCCATCATTATTGTAGCAGATTAGGGCAGACTTGAACAATAAATCATTTTTGAACCCACCACCGCTTGCTACTATTCACAACATATCACCTGTTCCCTTACATTAAACAATCGCATCCAAGCATCAAAATGGCAACTGGAAAACGCTCCACAGAGTCGGCTCTTGCTTATGAAGTGACCAAGAAGACCAAATATACAAAGTCTGAAATAAAAACGATTGAACGCAAGCGGAAGGAGAGGTACTTGGCTTCTAGATTGTGCAAGGAATTGCGATATGTATGCTCCCCTTATCCTTCCTTCAGTTGACAACCACGCCATCCCAATGGCGAAGGTGTGTTTGACTCTAGAACAAAAAATCGAGGTCCTTGATATATACGAATATCTTTTGCTTCGACAAAAAGATATCTCCCACAATGTAACCTTTAGAAGCTTCGGTGACCTGGTTGGATATATGCTTCCGAAGGCTACTTTTTACGACATGTAAAGAAAGAGAAATGTGATTCGACAACAGGCTCCGTTGTATCCAAAGGGCGCATGTTATTTGACTCAGCGAAAGAATTTTCAGCTTGAGGCGGTGCTCTTAAAATGGCTGCCTGGAAGATCAGCAGAAGCGAAACAATCCAGTCAACAAAAGGATGATAAAGCAAGCGGCTAAAACCACCTATATTGTCCTCACCGACCAGAAAAATCCTTTTGACTCGGACTCCAACAACATGATGCCGTCTTTTTCAGCTTCCTGGTTCGATGCTTTCAAAAAGCGTCATAACATAACGTATTGCCAGCTCCACGGAGAAGCAGCATCGGTTGACCTTAAGGCGATTGAGCCTGAACTAGTCGAGATTCGGCGGCTATGTTCCCAAGCCTGACAACATATACAACTGCGATGAGACAGGATTTTATTTCAAGGAGCTGGAGCACAAGTCTTATACAACGCAGGTCTCGAAAGCCGGTATCAAGGCAAATAGGAGCTGCCGTGTTTCCATTCTATTTTGTATCAACGCTTCGGGCACATCGCTCCTCAAGGCAGAATCCATGAGTGCATTGAAGACACTAGTCATTGGTAAGGAGAAGCAACTACTGAAAACCTTGGTAAATATTAAATATTAGACATTAACTTGATGTGATATATTTTATATACTAGGCAAAAATATCACCCAGGGCATTGACGAAGAGTCGGCAAGTAGGATGGTTGTGAAGAAGTCTGAATCGGGGTGGATGACAAACCATATCTTTGTGAAATGGTTGAAAGAACTCGATGACCAGCTCACGGAGCCAAGCCTACTTCTCCTAGACTCAGCTCCACAACACAACAACATTGATATGCGCGACCCTTCTATCAATTAATCCTGGAAGCATCTCCGCGTCCGACGACTCCTGGTGAACCCAACATCTGTTACGCAGCCCCTTGACGCAGGTGTTATTAGTGTGTTCAAGGGAGCATTCCTTGAGATGCTTATCCGTGAGTCGCATCTCATCCGAACGTTTGACATGGCGAGGGCTATTTTTAATGGACACGCGTGGTCGATTATCCCATATGCATGGAATTCCGTTAAAGCGACAACACTAAGGAATTGCTTTGCTGAAACGCCGGTCCTTCCTGAAGAGATGCGGCCGCCCTTCAAAACCATGTCGACTACCAATGCAGAGCGGAACCATGAGCTCCGGTACACGCGACGTCACCTTTATGAGAGGCAAGAAAGGACGTACTTCGAGCACTTGGTTACCTCAGTGAATGAGGCAAACGGCTGGAGAAAGATGTGCAGGATGTTTTGGAGGATAAAAATGGGCCATGCCCTTCTGTAGAGGATTGTAACTTTCCTGATCTTTCCGATGGAGTCCAAGAACCCATTCCACCCCCTGTGAGCAGCACGCATAGTTCACCTCTATCGAAGGAGTCACTTCATACTTCGGTTGAGCTACTGGCCAAGTTGTCTGGTGGGCATGATATGCGCACTCCGGAGGGAATGGAGGCCATGCTGGATAATGCAAAAAAAAAGTAACATGAGTAGTGTGCGCCATTTTTTTGAAAAAGCTTGTAAGAGCTTGTGAAGACGAGAATAGGGAACAGGTATCTCCACAAAAAGATATGCAGGATGGCTCCCAACGAGACGAAGAATTCCAGAATCCTTTTAATTAAAATATAATTATTCATATTTCATTGCGATCGTTCATTGATTTTGGTCGCAGTATCTCCTTTTTTTCGCTTGCGAGTGTAGACCTAGCTCTGAACCACGCTATCGCCTCGCTCTGCCAATCCAACTTTGGCTGGGTGAATGACCTGTAGGTCCTGGCGACTCTCAAACTCCGTCAGCGCCCGTTTCAAGTGGTGCCAGACGAGGACAATGGAGACCACGTCGGCGGCCAGTTGTGTTTCGAAAAAAGCTGTCACGTAACATTGGTTCATTAATCTTGTCCAATCAACTTCAGGTGTATTAACTGTTTAACATTAAGTAGCATTGAACTTCAACTGTACTCAGCGGTTACAAATAATACATCGTAAGGTCCGTAATTGATTTATTCATTTAGAATTATTCATTTAGAATTATTAAGTGGGCTGTAGATTTCATGAGCACATTCTTAGCGAACCTTTGCTTAGTACGCGGCGAGGCGGCGGATTGTGAGATGCATTCATAGTTAATTAGACGTTATAACATTAGCTTCAGGATACTGAATCTTTCTTAGCGAACCTTTGCTTAGTACGCGGCGAGGCGGCGGAAAGACGAGTTGGATCGAACAATGTTATAACATCACATCCACTTAATGATTCTTTGATTTCTTTTGTTTTTGTGTAAATTGAAATTTCATTACTTATATTGAATCGTTCACGAGAATCATGAGCGTATAGAATCACAAATGCGAAGCGTATCATCAGCTCCACAGGAAAAACTACCTCCTCTTCATCCTGCCGACTCAGTTGAACCATGTGTGAATGACCCGTTGAGTTGGGCACAAAAGAAAGCTAAAAGGGGTGAAGATATAGAAATGTCGAAATTCGCCGAAGAGCTTGGGTTCCATTGTGAGGAAGATGCACATCCGCTATTTATGCAAGTTTTACAATCAACAACTGTACCGTATATCATAAGACGACGTTCGCTTAATCAGTACAAAGTGTGGAAGGCATCTAAAGGTGGTGAATTTTGGGCAGACCGAAGAATTCGCTATCAAGTCCGAATGTCCACGAAGTCGGCTGTAAGCGAGATAATCGAAGGAAGTGGGGCTGTTAGAGAACATTATATCAGCGTCAATAATTCAACTTTGATTCCACTTTTATCAAACAATTTCGAGGTGGGTCCGAAACGAGGTAAGAGTTACTACAGTATTATTTATACTTATATTTGATATTGTTTGTTATTGTTTGTTGCTCTCATTCAATATTTGCATGGCCGACGACTGATAGTGCTATTTTTGTCTGCTCGCACTCCATTATTTGACTGAGGCTCGGGCTTGTCATCACCAACACTGTCGCCTCCGTGCCGTCCGCTCTTTAATATCAACAACGATGAAGGAGCTGTCACAGGAACTTTCGACAATCACGAACAGCTGTCTAGCGGAGACAAAGGTGATGAGGGTGAGGTATTTGGACGACCTTAATCCAGGACATATCTACAGTTCCACTGTAAGGAGCGGCCAGAATTCACATTCCGTTTCCCGCTGACAAAAGACTGGGGACCTCGGATAACTGAGTCCTACAACAAGATCAAGCAGAAGACATCTTTGAACTTCAAGCAAATAGATCAGATTGCGTAAGTAAGTTTGACTCCATACAAATGAGATTCACGTTCAAGCGAAATTACACAAACTAATCGACGTGATGAAATGTATCAATCTAGGCTGCTCTCTGGTGTCCTGCATTTTGACAAAGAGCATGTTGGATTCAAGACTGCTGAGATCTCAGCTATCACAAAGGAAGTTCTCCGTCGGTTTTATACCAGCGAGCTGCAAGAGAAAGACGTAAAGCGGTCGGTAGAAGCAGCTGCACTATGGAGCGCTTGGGTCCAGGTTCGCGGATATGGCTATGGTTGTTGTTGACATTATGTTTTTTTGACTGCTTGTTTGTTTTGAGCAATGCATAATGGGCACCAATCACCTTTTTTTTTTTTTTTTTTTTTTTTTTTTGGTTGTTGACTGCAGAATTTGGGATCAATGAATCTCTTGAGATACCTATCCAAGGACCTTGAAACCGCCGAGGAGCCCGAGATCGATCTTAGGTCGGTCGTTGACATGATAATGGGATCCTATTACACATGCCAAGAAAAAGACATATTACCTGTTTTGTTTGTGGCTCTGTATGTGTTTCGACACTACAATACATGGTGCGAGATTGAAAGTGAAAGTGATATTATGTCGTCCGTCATCGTGCCGATTTTACGTGAATTTATGAATATACCGGGCCATATCCAATTCAAATGGTAATATCATCCTGATTGTTTAGCCGTTTGCATATAGGAAGATGGGATGTTCTTTTGGTTTAATTGTCGTTATTCCTTTTAGCAGTCTTAACAGTGCATCGACTGCGGGCGAGAACAGAAAAGCTGCTTTGGCTCAGGATGGGCAAGCCAGGCAACCCGACATTGTGGGTCGAACAGAGGGAAAACGTGAGGTATATTATGGAGAAATCAAGGGTATCCACCCCACAACACAGTCAAAGAATGCGGATACCCTCCGCATTGCCATTTTTACAAAAGACAGCCTCGATGATCTACTCCCCGGTCTTGAAGAAGATCTGCCACTCATAAGCTTCCAGTCTGTCGGCCCTGAGATAGTGTTTTTCCTTGGTGCAATGATTGGCAATACTGTCATCCATGCAAGGATCTCTGAGCTTACAATGCCAACCTGTTCATCCGAACTTAAATCAATGGATCAAATCTTTTTCTTCCAATTGTTTCAGATTCAATCATTGGTCCGGATTACTAGCAAGTGCCTAAAGGGAAAGCGACAGGGGCATGTAAAAGACAACAGTCCATTTCCAACACTGAGCATGCCTCATCGAAATATGAAGCTGGGAATTCAGTCCAAATTGAAGGTGGTCAAGCGCGGGGGCAAAGATGTCATGGAGGTGAAGGAACTCAAGCGCAAAAGGAGAACAGCGGAGGCGTAAATGATATGAAGGAGGAGGAGGACTCAGTATAACTCAATGCTCTCTACACTGTTCTATTGTCGTACGTTAAGAACTAATCCCAGTTATTCCGAACTAGTGCTTGAAGGTCGTCATCATAATGGATCTGCTCTTTCAGATAGTTTTCTGTTTTTAAGTATACTTTCTTTAACACCAAAAAAAAAAAAAAAAAAAAAAAAAAAAAAATTGTGAAGCGACATGATAAGAGAAAACTATCCAAATGCAATAAACAAAATCGTCTCAATATGTTTAGCAGATGTGAGTGAGAAAATGCAATAGGCAACGATAGAGCCAAGGGAAGGCAAGACCAAGAAACAAGGGAGGGAAAGCCGAGCCCGAAAAAAAAGGTCTTGGAAGCCTATTCCACAATATCGAACGTGTTTCGTTCCTTTTGTAACTGAAAGGAACGCAAGTATCATCTGAGTATATATATTTTATAAAGTTTAGAATATCACCCAATTCAGTAAAACCTAATTATTATTCGAACAAGTTTGACAGTGGGATGTCCGGATATCATAGCAATATTAGTGTTTACCGATAGGTCAACACTAGCCCCAAGATTGACAGAAGTAATCAAAGACCAGACATCATCTGATCCGCGGTCATCTCGACCAGCATTGAAATAAAATCACCAGTTTTGCGAGAGCATGTCCATAACTGTTCGAGTCTTTCCACAGCCAGATGCTCCTAAAGTGAGCAAAAGCTGAGACTATGCGACAAAATATGTACAAGGATCTCTTTTGCCTTGTTATTAGAGTCGCAGCTCATATAAGAGCCATCCAAACCAGGAGGATCAAAGAATAGGAGTGATGGTCTATGTGTCGCCTCTCTTTTTTCTGACTGAAATCGACGCCAAGCAGCTGGGAAGCCTGACATTGCGCCGTCTGTTACTGGTAATTTAACGGTGCCATAAATATAAGCCTTGATAAATCAGACCAATCCTTGGAATAAAATTCCTTCTCAATGCTGCTAAACCGTTTATTGGCTATGAGTATTTGAAATACACAAGTTAGTAAAAATGGTAAATTGATGAGTATCAAATATAAAACATAAAGGCATTTTTGCTTACGTTCTTCAAGGGGTATACGAAAACCAAACTGCGGTTAACCGCCTATGAACGCAAGACACAGAACATTTGGTGAGATTATAAATAAGCGTGGATATCCCAGATATCAAGGACCTTTTCCTCCTAATCTTTCATCCGTCTGGCATGAATTGATGTGAGAGGGATGATTCTGGCGAGATTGATGCCCTCAACAGCATGTAGCATTAATATACCGAGAACTATTAATATACTGACGACACAATCCAATGTTGTATCACATTTTACCGGTCAATCGCGTGGCAGCCTTGGCCACATTCTTGATGTTTTTTTATTCCATGTCCCTGGACGCCTAGAGATTCAAGACGCACCGCCTTCACATACTGACACTGAATTGGCCGAACATACAACTAATATGATCTCCATTGGTCACAGGTTGCCATCCCGTGCACGCACCATAGGGCTAAAACGACATTTATGTCTTTAGAGCGGAGCTGTCATCCTAGCTCCTGGTTAAACGTTCTGGCGCCTTGGATGATGATAATTGATGGATCTTCCGCAAGTGGCAAGCATCCAGATGACAAAGCATACGAGAAAGGACAATTTCCTATGCCAGCTGTCCTGGTGATAATAATATGGTTTTGGGTCTCATCATCAGACTCTCACTGGGTTCTCCACAGGATTCTTCATCTCTATCCATTTTTACAAAACTCTTTGATAATAGTATCACAAAAATCTGCCCTTTCTTGCACACAAGATCGCATGATGATCACAGGAAGCTTTATAAAGTTCTATATGCCCCAGTAGAAGGGAGGACGGATTAAACCGCTCTATCTATTCGTCTAAAAGGTAAGTGGATAATGATGGCTTCATTCATAAAGAATGAACCATTGTATAAAATTCTCAAGGAACGGGTATAATGCTTTTTTTAAAAAAGACAAAATTTCATCCACTTGATTGGTATTCGATTTAATTCTTCAGATTCGTACCGGCTGCTCCTCCTGAATATGCAGCTTCGAGGTCGATTTTTATGACACGCTGTCTTACATGTTTTAAGCATACATATGGATTCTTGACGACCGTATCTTTGGTGGTAAGAAAGTTCTGAACTTTAAAATCGCCATATACGTCTCCTGGCACCACAAAATAGAGGAAAATGGTATCATCACTTCCCTTCGACTCTGATCGGTCTCCCTTCGACTCTGATCGGTCTCCCTTCGACTCTGATCGGTCTCCCCTTTTTTTTCGACTCTGATCGGTCTCCCTTCAACTTTGATTGGTCTCCCTTCAAGCAGGGTCCAGTAATACATTCAATTATCTCCTTGAATGGTGCTTGCTTGATCGGATGCTTCTCTGATACTGTGACCTGAAATAGCTTGTTGGGTCCCAATGCAAAATCAATGCACGGAAATTTAGAATGTTCTGGTACAAACAACTTGCCAGCTGCTTGAGTGAGCCCTAATAATTCATCTGAAGTCCGGATATGCACCACTTCTGGGTTTGCTGGAAAATCAAGAAATCCTGTTTCGCCTGACTGGAGATCCCTAAAGGGAAATCTAATATCACCACATCGAAATAAGTGATGAGCATAGACTTCAAACAGTGGGCCTTTAGCTATATCCTCTTCGCTTTTGACAAGTTTCGCCAACACATCGAGCCAAGTGTCATCTTTTATTTTGTCGACAACCCTTAATTCAACCCAACGAGATGCCCACACCAGATGGAAGTTGAGGTGGTCAGAAGTGGGGACTCTATGGAGTAAACGACCACTAAATTCACTCGCTTCTTTTCCTCGTGCAAAGAGCGCTACAAGATCTGCTGGGTTCCGGAGTTTTTCAATGGCAGTTTCGACGCGGCTAAACGCAGAGTCTCTAGCACCCTTAATATCTCCTTGATTCTTGAATAGTTCTTTGGCTGGAGCCTGTAGGACCTGTCTTGGCACTCCCCCCAACTTGTAAAAAAGCTCCTCCAAAAATTCTTCATCCACTGGATGAAAAAACTTTACATTGGCTCTACATTCCTTAAGCTCGTCCAAACTCCAGAGTGACATGTGATAGTAGCTACTGCGTGAATTTTCCTTGGTGAATTCATCGTACTGCCCATAGAGAGTTTTTGGTGATGCCGCAAATATCGTCCTGGCTTGATCTGGTTGAGGATGGTTACCACTGTCAACTAAATACCACGTTTCAGGTTGCTCAAGAAAATGTTTGAAATCTACTCTCTCTCCATAACGTTGGCAAGTTGTTCCTCCGTAGGCATAACATTCGGTATTCTTCTTTTCATGGAAAACAATAATCGGTGGATTCTCCTCGTCATGCTCTGCAAGGAGGCGGATGGCAAAATAGACCAAAAAGGCTGACTTCCCAATTCCAGGCGTTCCAGTGACAAAGAGTCGGTTCAAACTAGCTCCATGAGGGGTACTGAATGTAGATGTAATATGGTCATAAAGCTTTTTATATTCATCTCTGATATAAAGATGCCTTGTTCCGGCAACAGGGAAGATACAACCCTCAGGAGCAGTCAATAGTTTGGAATCCTTGATACCACCAGAATTTCGGAGCTCGCAAGCCACGCTAACAATGCTGTAGTAAATACTATCTCCTGATAACTCCTCCCCCATGTACGAAAGCACCTTGACCCTCTCTTTCGAGTTTAGAGGCGAGATTACAGGCCTATCATTCACTATCCCTTTCGTTACAAGCCCTGCTTCTGTAATCGCATCCCTAAGAGCACTTCTACTACTTATACTTGGACGAGCTTTTTTAGAGGGTGACTCTGATAAAGGAGATAGAGTGATCAAAGTTAATATTCTTGATTTATTGCACTGCACATTACTCTAAATTGATCAATAACCAGGTTCTCAGCCAAAAGCACTCACCAGAATCTCCATCTTGTTTTCTTTTCTGAGCTAAGTATCAAAAGCGAATAATGAGAAAGAACGTTGAGTTATCAAGACACAAACCAAATGGCGACATTATGCACATGGCCGTTTAAGATACAAACCAAGCTTCATCAGCTGGAAATATCAACAATCAGTCCATCAAGAGCCAAGGATATACCTCGCTGTGGTGGCTTGACAAAAACATGGATAGTTTTCCTTGGAAGTTCAGAATTAAATATCTCCCAAAGCTCCATTGACGCGGGTGCGAGAGCCTCTTTTGACTCGATTTCTGACTCGACGACGGTCTTGTCTTCGTCAGGGATGGAGACCTTGTAGAGGATGAGCTTATCTGCAGCAACATGATCAAGTTCTGGCTTCTTTGCTACCTTGATGGCTTGCTTGAGCATCCCGACCGTTTTATCGCAGAAAATCTCTACTGGGAACGACGTTGCTTCTCCCTCGACAACGCAGTTCAGCAGCAGCAGTGGGATGGCGCGCTTTTTTCGTTGTGGGTGCTGGTTTACTCTTTTTCGTTTATTGAGTGTGGAGGCATCCTCAGGCTTATTTGCAGTCATTTTTTTTTGTGCTTGGCTCCTTGTGGTGGCCATTGAAAATTAAGATGAGTGGGACTGAGTGTGGTTGAAATGCAGGGAGAATGATGGTTAAATAGGCAAAGGTATATTCTATACTCTTTCACACTCGTGGTCGCTGTATGAAAACAAAAATGAAAAATGTGTAAGGCAAAAAAAAGGAAAGGAAAGGAAAGGAAAGGAAAGGAAAGGAATGGCAATAGATGAAGGCTTGGAATAAATAAAAGAGCAAAATTGATGGGAGCAAAACTGGGGTGAAATATGAAAAAAGTGATAAAGGAGGAGGGAGAGAGTGCAAAAATGAAGTGAAGCAAAGGAAAGAAAGGAAAGAAAGGAGCGACAATTGCAATTGATCCTTTATTTTAAGGTTAGGCGATGTGTGAGAAAATATTTTTTTCAAATCAGCCACGTGCCATTTTCTGGGTCATTGTGACGTGACAATCTTTAGTGCGCAAAGAACTCATTTCTCATTTTCCATGTCCCTCAGATAAACGTTTGTTCACGTTCTCTTAAACCTCGTCAACGCTCAACAGCTTCTCGATGGAAGGGATATAAATGATGATGGTGCTGCTAACTTCCAGGTACCTCGACTCCAAAATAATCGTATCGATTTGGAAGCACTTTCTGACGCAGATTTCCGT